TAAAATCCAGCTTGATATTTTATCTTTTGGCTAACTTAGACATGAGAGAAAGCTTAATGAAATCTGGTTTTAGATATTTGATAAATCTTTGTAGATTTGGTCTTGGTGGTGGCTATATGAAAATTATGCCATTTTCACTTTTGTCATTGTCATTCTTTACTTTTTCCTTTTGGTAGCATTTCAATTTTATTTTATATTTTTTCAGAAACAACAGTCTGTTCCTCAGCAGATTTATTTTCCAAGTGATCATCATCTACTTATGAGATCTTTGACTATAAATTCAAATGTGCCACCTATAAAACTATCTGATTTGCTTATGAAAACAATTTTCATTAACCACTTTCTTAGCAGCTGAATTCTTATTTAGTTGTGAGCAACCAATAATATCTTGAGGCTAAAACTCCGGATTCATCATCCTATCATTTGCACCTATATCATGATTTTCCTAAAGTAATGTATTTTGTTGGCTTTTTATGCAGATGAAAAGCCAACAAAATACATTGGTCAATCATATCAAAATATAATTGGTCAATCAATCAGTTGTTCAGTCAAACAGTTTGAAGATTCAAATTCAATCACCTGAAAAACTATTAGCAAGTACATGTTTTGTACTTGCTAATAGTATGTAGCTCCATATTTCTCTGATAATATGAAATGTCATAATCTTATAATTGAGAAGGCAGATAAAAAGTAGTCATTGACTTTCTCCTGGATGAGAAAATATATAAATTTGTTCAACTGTTAACTTTGGCATGCCATTCACAGATGAATTCTAATCTTAATCAGTTTTTCACAAAATGAATTGAAAATTCAGTCAATACTCTCAAAATTACTAGATATATATTTTGTGCTTGCTCAGAATAATAGGCTATAGTGATTTCAGTCAAATGTTTCAATCTTACTGATCAGAAAGATAGAGGGAATGTTATGAGGAAAAGTTTATTAAAACGTTCCCATTAATCTTCTGGACCCATAAAAAGTTTCATTGCATTTAATGAAACCCTGCCAAAAAGAATAAAGAATGGACAAATAAACTTTGAATACTATAGATAAAGATCCTATAAATAAATATTGAGTTTTATATATACATATTTGTTTACTTTATATGTATTATTATAGCATCACAATTCATTACTTTTAGACAAAAATCTAAATATTATGAAAGATAAACTCAACACACATTCTTGTTCAATGCAGACAAATAATAAAAGAAATAAATCTTCCAACTCTGATTTTCAATAAATTCTGCTGGTTGCAAAGTTTATTTTTTTTATTATTATTTTTTTTTTAAGTGTTTTATCTAATCATTTATTCTAATAAAAATAGAATTTAAAATTGTTTATTTTTAATTAAAATTTTTATTATAATACCATAAAAAAAAACTCTCTTCAAAAATGTTAATGTTCTAAATTTTAATGGAATGAAACAAAAAGCTAAAAATAATTTTGTCCTATATCAAATCTGTAATAACTGGAAAAACTATTAAATTTATCAACAGTTGTGTCAAACTTATGTAAGATTTATGAAAAGGATAACATAATGTGGTACTTTTATTTACTACAAGAATTATTTAATATTTTAAGTGTCATTTACTTTTTCAAATTCTTAAATTCTAGAAATATTACTTACTGTATAATTATCTGGTTATCTGTTTGAATGGCAATAAACTGATACAAAACTGATGGCTATCTGTTTGAAAGCACTAAATACATATAAATTATAATTATTGATTCATTGTTTAAAACTAAAACCCCTCTTTATCTCTCTTCTTTCTTTGTAATTTTATATCTGTATTTAATTAATAAATCATATGAATTTTCTTTATAAATATTACAGTAAGACTTATCAAATATAAACTATCTAAAAATAGTCTAGAGAGATGTTTTTCATTTAATATGATAAGAAATAAAGTAATACATGTACCATTTTAAACAACGTTAAACATATTACTCACCCTCAAAAAAACTTATTACTCACCCTCAAAAAATAAACATTTTGCTAGTTTTATAAATAGTTTTCCAGTTTATATCATAATTTAATTACATGTTACAAGGATACTTTGATATTTTATTTACAAAAATATTTAAATTAAAAATACTTACTTGTAAATATTGAATAAATTTATGCATCATTATTATGCAACATCAATTGCTGTCTTTAAATTTTGTATTAGTGTAGCTAATTCTGTTTCCAAGTTTAGCAGCATACCTATTCACACAAGTTATTTTGTTAGAATGTACAAAAACCTTTTAATATTTCATTATCATACATAAAATAAATTATAAATTCAGAAATCTTTAAAATTAAGAATCTCAAATTTAAAAATTGTCTGAATGTAAATATGAAAAAAATATGATAACTTCAAAATACAAATTACTCTTCATTCATTAGTTTTAATGATGAATTAAAGATGACTTTACTCAAGGACAATTTAAATATAAATTTGAAATATATATAAAGGAGGAAGACATCATTGGATCACATGGTCTTGGAAAAAGAAATAAAAGAGGGACTCGCCTCATACAGTTTTTCAAAGAGGAAAAGATGATCACCAACATCTGGTTCAAACTGCCTCCCATAAGACCAGATAACATTGTTAAAAATCAAATAGACTTTATTCTGATAAATAAAAAAGATTTTGTAACAGTACCACTTGTACAGATGTATCATCAGACCACAACCCATTGGTTCATTTGAAACTGCATAAGCCCATCCACAAATCATAAAACTTGCCATGACATTACCATCCTCAAAGATAAAGTACAAAGAGCAACAATAAGACGGACAGTACAAGAGGAATTAAAAAAGATGGCAAGAGAGAACATCTATAGAAGATAAACAGAAGAAAATAAGAGAGACAATCCAGAAAATTAGCAATAAGCATTTCTGCAGAAGGGAACAAAAGAACAAGAAGAAAGAATGGATGACTGATAACATACTCCACCTAATGAACTTAAAAAAGGACTTTCAAAAATTGAGACAAAACCAAATATGACGAAATACAAAAGATAATCCAATGAGAAATAAGAATCACAAAGGAAGTTCATATGACTGAAATTTTACACTGAGATAAAATAATACCAGAATAAACATGATCTCTTTAATATGCACAAGATCAGAAAAACTACTGAGAAGTGCAGGCAGAAAACATGTGCATTGCTAAAAAAGACAAGAATGGAAACCTGGCAATAGCTATATAAGACAAGTTCAATATATGGAAAGAATACATAAAAAAACTATTCAATGACAATAGAGGAGAATGACCTATCAAACAGTAACATTGAACCACCAATAAGAGCCTTAAGAACATCCAAAAATAGGAAAGCAAATGGTCCAAATGACATCCTTCTAGAGATGTTGAAACTCCTATCATAAGTGAACATTAATGAACTAACAGAACTCTTCAATGAATCTATGACACAGGCATCATCCCAAATGATTGGCTGCAATCAACTTTTATCACCACAACAAAAAAAAGCTGATGCCAAGTCATGTGATGAATACAGAACAATCAGTCTCATGATTCATGCACTCAAGGTCTTCTTAAAAATCATTCAAAACAGAATTTACAAAAAAATGTGAAGAGAACACTGGAGAAACACAATTTGGCTTCTGGAATTCCATGGGCACTAGAGAGTTCTCATACAAAGATGCAGATATATAGGATGTGACATGCATACTATTTACGCTTATGATTATACAAATTTATGCTTTTTAGATTATACAAAAGCTTTCAACAGGTGCCAACATGAAAAGATGATCCAGGCATTGCAGAAAACTGGCATTGACAACAAAGACAGAATCATCAGCAACCTTTACTAGAATCAAACCACACAGATCAGATGGAAGATCAACTGACAGAATAAATTCATATCTATTATATATAAATTTTCAGAGTATATATTGAAAAAGGTAGAGAATAATACACAAGGCTGTGTATTATCCCCTACCTTCTTCAATATATACTCTGAAAATATTTTTTTAGAAGCACTAGCACTGGTTGATCTGACACTTGTATCAAGATCAATGGAGGATATTTGAATAACATTCATTATGCTGATGACACAATACTGTTCTCCACAAATTTTAAAACCCTTCAGATAATGCTAGATTGTCAGAACTATAAGCAAAAAATATCTTTAGATCTCACCATCAAAAAGACCAAATATATGATCATAAGTCAAACATCAACTCAGGGCAAGTTGATAGCTGGATCAAATGAAATCGAGAGTAATTTAATTACTTGGGAACTGTCTTGAATGATAACTGGGATCATGATATAGCAATCTGAGCAGAAATGGAAAAGGTAAGAACTGTTTTCACTAAAATGAGAAAATTGCCATGTTCTAGAGACCTAACCCTTTATTTGAAAACTAGAATAATCAGATGCTGTATGATTCCAGTGCTATTGTACAGAGTTGAATCTTGGACTGCATCCAAAACATCTGAAAAGAAGATCAAAGCCTTCAAAATGTAGATTTATTAAAAGCGTCCAAGATTATCCTGGGTGTGCAACTAGTTAATGCAATTTTCATTTTAATATACAGTATTTAAGTATTTTATTTATTTTATTCATGTTTTAATATATTATTAGGACATTTAATTATGTTATTTCCCTCTTAAATTGTTTATTTACTTTTTTAAGTTTATTGAAATTGGTATTATTCAGGGTCTGGGATTGTATTAATTGACTTTCCATTATTTTTAAAGGAAAAAACTGCTTTGGACTTTGAAAGATTTGGAGTTCAAATAGCCTCCAAGAATGAATTAAATTCAAAATACAAGGCACCACTGTATACATACAGGGTGTTTATAATTAAAGTTCCACTTTGAAATGGTAATAATGTAAAAAATGTCATCGGATTTTATTTCCCGCAAAAAAAAAGTTAAAAAACGCACCACCAACAGAAAATGGCGGTGCATGCAATATTGTTAAACGAAATAAGACATGAAGACATCGTTTAAAATGTTTTTATCAGTTTTAAAATGCATTACAGAGCATGTTCAATGTGGTGTTCACCATTTTTGATAAGCAAGTTACATTTTTGATAAGCAAGTTACATAAATTGAAAGGTTTACAGGAAAAGAGAGAAAAATTTTTAAAGGATGTACAATTTTTTAAGTGCCATCTTCGTGAAGAAATCACTCCAAGAACATTACAACTAAAGAAGTCGATAAGAAAAGACATCAATGAACAAGATATATGGAAGATAGAAAGATTAATATTGAAATCAATAATAAATAAAAAAGGTAAATTAATTAATAATATAAATAAAAAGATTAAAGAGTTAAAAATTAAATTAAACATTAAAAGTAAGAGAAAAGAAGCAAAGACTATAAATAAATACATAAAAAATAAAAATGAAAGATTATGTAAATTATTTGATTATCCTTTAGAATCGGAATACAGAGAGTGGCAAGAAAATCTGGTGGTAAACCTAACTGAAAAAAGTATTCCAGATGATTATATGCGGTTTTTGTCATATGGTGTGGGTATGAATTTACCATATTTTGATAAATCATTGGATACTATAGCGGACATTGAATTGGCAATATTCAAAAGTGGACTTGATAAAAACAAAAAAGAAGAAATGAGAATAAAGATCGCTGAAGATCTAAAGAAGTTTAAAACAAAACAAGGATACATGATGGATCAAAAGGCTAAGAAGTATATAGGTAAATATAACAGATTGAAAAAGTTTCTTCATAGATTTAATTTAGGTATTGTAAAAGCAGATAAATCAAGGCAATTAATAATAATGAATTTAACAGATTTAGACAAAAAGAAACAGGAAATTATAAAAGAAGGAAATTTTGAAAAATTAGAGTTAGATCCAACAAGTAACATACAGAAATTATTGAAGAAAATTGTAGGAAAATTAATAAAAGAAGGAGCTATTTCAATTACTGAAAGTAAAGAACTATTACCAGGAGAAAATGTGAGAATGCCAAAGTTAAATGTTCGTATTAAGACACACAAACAAAATAAATGCAGACCTATAGTAGACTTTAAGATGACCGTGTTATATAATTTAGAGATATTTTTAAAGAAATCATTACAGGTTATATTAAACTCTGAACTTAGTATAAAAAATACTGATAGTTTAATTTCAAGATTAGAAGCAGGAAGAATTTTGCCAGAGTACCGTTTAATGAGTATAGATATAGTGTCAATGTATCCATCGATTACAAAAGAAATGATTATACAGAGTTTAAGTGAGTATAACACCCCTTCAGATTTAATATCATTAATAACATTTGTATTGGAAAACAATTTCTTTGCAGTTAAAGGCGAGTACTTTCGACAAAAGGATGGAATATCCATGGGCTCGGTGGTCGGCCCAAAGCTGGCAGAGATTGTTATGAAAAATATAGATAAAACGTTGCTGAACTTAGGTGGAATAGTTTTTCTGGCACGGTATGTCGATGATATATTTATTATTTATAATAGTAAAATAACATCACCAGAAAAAATCTTAAAAGAAGCTAATGAAATTAATGAACATATTAAGTTCACCTATGAGTGTGAAAAATTAGATAGTCTAAATTATTTGGATATCACAATAACCAGGTTTAAAGATCATTTGGAGTATAGTAGGTATGAAAAACCTTGTAACACAAATAAAGTTATAAATTTTAGATCGTATTGTCCAATTAATCAAAAAAGAAATATTTATTTAATGGAAGTAAAAAAGATATTTTCTAGAACAACCAGAAGTGAAAAAAGAATAGAAGAACTCAAAAAAATAAATAAGAAGTACTTGTTGAACAATTATCCGAAAAGATTGCTGAGGAACTGGTATGATGAATATTCAAAAAGAAGATTTCAAGTAAAGCAACAAAAAGAAAGTAAAAAGTATGTTTCTTTTCCATATATCCAAGGTATTTTTGAAAAATATAAAAAAATTTTCTGTAAAAACTTAATACAATTGGCTCCATTGCAAAAAAATAGATTATCTGAATTAATTAGAACTGAACCTTACAGAAAGAAAGATTTATTGGAAGAAGATGGAGTGGTTTACAGGCTTCAATGTACGTGTGGAGTACCGTATTACTACGTTGGAGAAACAAAACGGAAACTAAAAGTGAGGATGTCGGAACACTTGGCAGCAGTACGAAATAAAATTAATACATCCCCGGTATTTTTGCATTGTCATGTTAATAACTGTCAATTAGATATTAATAATGTAAAAATAATACATAAAGAGAAAAATATTGTAAAAAGAAAATTTAAAGAACATTTCGCGATAATTATGCAAAGTAATGTAATGAATTTGAATAATGGGGTGATACCAGCGGAATGCTGGGAAGAGTTTGTGTTACTTAAAGATTGTAAACGCGATAGTATCAGTGAGAAAGATGTGTTTTCTTCTGTGTCTACGACGGAGAAAAATGTGTCGTTTGAGATACCTTCTGCTGTTCCTATTGTACACTCTAGTAGTCAGAAACCCTACTGAAGAGGCCTTGACAGGCGAAATGCATTTGGGGTGAAGTATATATTTATATAAAAATAAAATTATATTTTCCTTGTTAACCTGTTTACCCTTTTTTAATTTTTTATATCAGTCTACGGACTCGGGACTTATTAAGCCTCCAAAAGTCAGAAACGAATGGAAAACTAGTAGTTTTCCGTGTACTAAAGATTAGTACAGTACGGTAATATAAAAAAAAAAGTTACATTGCATTACTGAGTTCTCAACAGTAGCTCTTGGTATATCACTTTCTTCCTGCCATAAGCCATTGTGATTTTGCATAACCCCACAAACAGTTTTGTTTTAAAACTGATTAAAAACATTTGCAATGATGTCTTCATGTCTTATTTCATTTAACAATATTGCAGACTGCGCCATTTCCCATTGGTGGTGAGTTTTTGAACTATTTTTTTTTTTGCAGGAAATAAAATCTCATGACATCCTGTACACTATTACAAAGTTTGATAACATTCTGTCCAATAGTTTTCATTTTATGGCCATTTCAAAGTGGAACTTTAACTATAAACACCCTGCATATTATTTGTAAAACATTCTCTTTCATACTTCTTAAAATTGTTTAAATGCAAATCCCACTAATGCTGTAAGCTTTAACAGATAATTTAAAACATTATAATCAATTGGTATTATTAAATAAACAAATTAACAATTACCAGAATCTTGGTCATAGAATAATTAATTAACATTCTAAATTAATAGTTAATTTATGATTTGGTATTTAATATATATTTCAGTTTGATCTTTTAGCTATTCAGAAATATATTTATTAAATTAAATATCCCATAACATTTGATTATTAAAAAAACAGAAAATTTATTATTTAAAAAACTTTTTACCACTAAATAAATTGTTAAAATGTATTTTGGTACAAATATCAAATTTTCAATCTTTTAATGCTAAAATAACTAAGTTAAAAATATTAATTTACCTGTATTGGCATTTGCTGCTGCTATAAGACTAACCATTAGAGATGATTTATTAAAATGAATAACCTATAATATTAAATTATAATAAATTATTCAAGCAAGTTTTAAAAATAAGACAACTTTTATTACTGTTATAATTTAATAAAAAACATTTTTCAATTTAATACAATGGCAATTATATATCAAATAGAGAATTAGATATTACAATTAAAATAATAACTCTGTTGCCAGTCAGCACCTTATCAGGTGAAGAGAGCTGAGTAGTTCCAATAAGCTATAGAGCAATGTTGGCAAGATCATAAGATTCCATTAGGATCATGTATGCCAGTAAGATCCATGAAAAGAAGTGAAGCAAAAAGCTTCATTTCTCTTCAGACCTTAATGTCATTTGGATTGAACACTGTCACAAGTAATATCCAATCCATATAGATTACTGATATAGGTTGTTTCCTGTGATTGTGATGCATTCTCAACAGGGGCATTGCCAGAGTTAACAAAATCAGCATTTGTGAGTTAGGCAGAAAATCCCATTCAAGAAAAACAGTCTGCCACAGTCTCTGTTGGTCACTAGTGGTAAATGCACCTCTAGCCAAGTGTAACTATTATATCACAAACACATTCATCACTTCGCTCACTCACAATGGACAACACAAACCTGTACAAAGTGCTTTAGTGGCAATTCAGTCACTAACCACAAAGACTGGAAAATCATGCCAATTAATGAAGTGAACACAGGAAATCAATGAATTCATTATCTGTATTTATTTCATTATCATAAAAGATGAAACAAACATGTCTGTATAAAGACAAATATTGCATAACAAATTCACTCTAAAATAGCACATCTCATTGTTACAAAAAAAGGGTTGTTGATCAGAAAATAACAATCATAGGGCGTTCTTAGGAAGTCTGTTCATCATGTAAACATCTATACCTGCCAAAAAGTAAGATCTACTTGTTCTGTTCTGCAACTTCAACAACAGTAAGTTGATTGCTGCTAGGCAACAGTCTACACAAATCTATTTTGCTGTATAAAACTGTCAGGCAGAAACTATCCTTTACAGCAGGGATTACCAACAGAGTTAATATAGATCCCATGGGGGTCAATGGAACTCAAAGAGTCAATTGGGAGTCGATAGAAAAATTAGATATTTATTGTACTGCTTCAATAATTTCAGATAATTTTCAAATAAGAACAACAACAATCATGTGGGAAATTCATTAACTGATTTAATAATTTACTTGATATATTACACAAAATCTTGAAAAATAACAAAAGTTTTAAGGCAGTCAATTGAAAATAGAATCTTCTAAACAAATGGTCAATGCAAGAAAAAAATTGGGAACCCCTGCTTTCACAGTAAAACAGTACTAAAGAATAATAATGCTATCATTTCTATTACCAATAAGAGTTCCTGTATATAAATAACTTAATAATATGGATTAGGATTTTTTGATAAAATCTATTTCATAAACATACTTGATAGTTGTTATAGGTTGCCATAATCCATTTATTTTTTCCTAAACCAAGTTTTCCTCCTTGATCTGTAACTGTTGCAACTGTTGATAAAATGCTTGGTTTTAATGCTACTTCTGGCACTTCATCATCTGAAACTATAATATAAGCTTTTGTTAAATTTTGCAATAATACATAGTAGAACTTCTGTTATTAAAATATAAAATATCATCCTGTGAAAATGAAATGAAATATGAATGAACATCCTCATTAACTCGAACCAGAATAACTAAGTCATTTTCTTTCCCCAATTATCTGGCATAACATGTTAAATCAAACTGGTTAATTTACAATAGATTAGTAAAATATAGATTATGCTACAATTGTTTTTTTCAATTTTCATAGGTTTCTTCTATGAGATTGGGAAAATGTGGCTAAACTGATCTCCATTTGTAACTAATCATAGTAGTGAATATAAGTTACTGAATACAATACACAAGGCAAATAAATAATTACATTGAAAAAACTAAAGATTAATTCATGTAAATATTTCATTCTACTTTTTTGCTCATCGGTTGTTATTTTTTGAATTCCAACAGGTATGACTGGTGTAAAATGATCAAATGATGAAAAAGAAAAGCCTTGTTGTGAGCTTTAGGCAATTGATTTGGAGACCAAAAGAAAAATCATCCATAAGCACAAAGATGGCTAAATCTTTGACATAACTGTTCATGATTGTATAAAAAGAATATAAAAAATTCTTTATATTATATTCAAATTATGATTAAAACTGACTTTTGTATAAAGTGCTGGATCAATCAAAAGATGTAGGTTGAAAATCACCTATAAAAATTTGAATGATTCTCATATCGCTGACTGCTATTTGAATGATATGAATAACAATAATAATTGAATGATTATTCAATCTATAAAACTTCTTCTTTTGATTAAACTTTCACAATTTCTCAGATGTTTAATGATAAAATGCTGATTGTAAAACACTATATTTTCCACACTAAGCATAAAGATGTGAAAGTCTTAAAACAAATTGACNATACATAAAATAAATTATAAATTCAGAAATCTTTAAAATTAAGAATCTCAAATTTAAAAATTGTCTGAATGTAAATATGAAAAAAATATGATAACTTCAAAATACAAATTACTCTTCATTCATTAGTTTTAATGATGAATTAAAGATGACTTTACTCAAGGACAATTTAAATATAAATTTGAAATATATATAAAGGAGGAAGACATCATTGGATCACATGGTCTTGGAAAAAGAAATAAAAGAGGGACTCGCCTCATACAGTTTTTCAAAGAGGAAAAGATGATCACCAACATCTGGTTCAAACTGCCTCCCATAAGACCAGATAACATTGTTAAAAATCAAATAGACTTTATTCTGATAAATAAAAAAGATTTTGTAACAGTACCACTTGTACAGATGTATCATCAGACCACAACCCATTGGTTCATTTGAAACTGCATAAGCCCATCCACAAATCATAAAACTTGCCATGACATTACCATCCTCAAAGATAAAGTACAAAGAGCAACAATAAGACGGACAGTACAAGAGGAATTAAAAAAGATGGCAAGAGAGAACATCTATAGAAGATAAACAGAAGAAAATAAGAGAGACAATCCAGAAAATTAGCAATAAGCATTTCTGCAGAAGGGAACAAAAGAACAAGAAGAAAGAATGGATGACTGATAACATACTCCACCTAATGAACTTAAAAAAGGACTTTCAAAAATTGAGACAAAACCAAATATGACGAAATACAAAAGATAATCCAATGAGAAATAAGAATCACAAAGGAAGTTCATATGACTGAAATTTTACACTGAGATAAAATAATACCAGAATAAACATGATCTCTTTAATATGCACAAGATCAGAAAAACTACTGAGAAGTGCAGGCAGAAAACATGTGCATTGCTAAAAAAGACAAGAATGGAAACCTGGCAATAGCTATATAAGACAAGTTCAATATATGGAAAGAATACATAAAAAAACTATTCAATGACAATAGAGGAGAATGACCTATCAAACAGTAACATTGAACCACCAATAAGAGCCTTAAGAACATCCAAAAATAGGAAAGCAAATGGTCCAAATGACATCCTTCTAGAGATGTTGAAACTCCTATCATAAGTGAACATTAATGAACTAACAGAACTCTTCAATGAATCTATGACACAGGCATCATCCCAAATGATTGGCTGCAATCAACTTTTATCACCACAACAAAAAAAAGCTGATGCCAAGTCATGTGATGAATACAGAACAATCAGTCTCATGATTCATGCACTCAAGGTCTTCTTAAAAATCATTCAAAACAGAATTTACAAAAAAATGTGAAGAGAACACTGGAGAAACACAATTTGGCTTCTGGAATTCCATGGGCACTAGAGAGTTCTCATACAAAGATGCAGATATATAGGATGTGACATGCATACTATTTACGCTTATGATTATACAAATTTATGCTTTTTAGATTATACAAAAGCTTTCAACAGGTGCCAACATGAAAAGATGATCCAGGCATTGCAGAAAACTGGCATTGACAACAAAGACAGAATCATCAGCAACCTTTACTAGAATCAAACCACACAGATCAGATGGAAGATCAACTGACAGAATAAATTCATATCTATTATATATAAATTTTCAGAGTATATATTGAAAAAGGTAGAGAATAATACACAAGGCTGTGTATTATCCCCTACCTTCTTCAATATATACTCTGAAAATATTTTTTTAGAAGCACTAGCACTGGTTGATCTGACACTTGTATCAAGATCAATGGAGGATATTTGAATAACATTCATTATGCTGATGACACAATACTGTTCTCCACAAATTTTAAAACCCTTCAGATAATGCTAGATTGTCAGAACTATAAGCAAAAAATATCTTTAGATCTCACCATCAAAAAGACCAAATATATGATCATAAGTCAAACATCAACTCAGGGCAAGTTGATAGCTGGATCAAATGAAATCGAGAGTAATTTAATTACTTGGGAACTGTCTTGAATGATAACTGGGATCATGATATAGCAATCTGAGCAGAAATGGAAAAGGTAAGAACTGTTTTCACTAAAATGAGAAAATTGCCATGTTCTAGAGACCTAACCCTTTATTTGAAAACTAGAATAATCAGATGCTGTATGATTCCAGTGCTATTGTACAGAGTTGAATCTTGGACTGCATCCAAAACATCTGAAAAGAAGATCAAAGCCTTCAAAATGTAGATTTATTAAAAGCGTCCAAGATTATCCTGGGTGTGCAACTAGTTAATGCAATTTTCATTTTAATATACAGTATTTAAGTATTTTATTTATTTTATTCATGTTTTAATATATTATTAGGACATTTAATTATGTTATTTCCCTCTTAAATTGTTTATTTACTTTTTTAAGTTTATTGAAATTGGTATTATTCAGGGTCTGGGATTGTATTAATTGACTTTCCATTATTTTTAAAGGAAAAAACTGCTTTGGACTTTGAAAGATTTGGAGTTCAAATAGCCTCCAAGAATGAATTAAATTCAAAATACAAGGCACCACTGTATACATACAGGGTGTTTATAATTAAAGTTCCACTTTGAAATGGTAATAATGTAAAAAATGTCATCGGATTTTATTTCCCGCAAAAAAAAAGTTAAAAAACGCACCACCAACAGAAAATGGCGGTGCATGCAATATTGTTAAACGAAATAAGACATGAAGACATCGTTTAAAATGTTTTTATCAGTTTTAAAATGCATTACAGAGCATGTTCAATGTGGTGTTCACCATTTTTGATAAGCAAGTTACATTTTTGATAAGCAAGTTACATAAATTGAAAGGTTTACAGGAAAAGAGAGAAAAATTTTTAAAGGATGTATAATTTTTTAAGTGCCATCTTCGTGAAGAAATCACTCCAAGAACATTACAACTAAAGAAGTCGATAAGAAAAGACATCAATGAACAAGATATATGGAAGATAGAAAGATTAATATTGAAATCAATAATAAATAAAAAAGGTAAATTAATTAATAATATAAATAAAAAGATTAAAGAGTTAAAAATTAAATTAAACATTAAAAGTAAGAGAAAAGAAGCAAAGACTATAAATAAATACATAAAAAATAAAAATGAAAGATTATGTAAATTATTTGATTATCCTTTAGAATCGGAATACAGAGAGTGGCAAGAAAATCTGGTGGTAAACTTAACTGAAAAAAGTATTCCAGATGATTATATGCGGTTTTTGTCATATGGTGTGGGTATGAATTTACCATATTTTGATAAATCATTGGATACTATAGCGGACATTGAATTGGCAATATTCAAAAGTGGACTTGATAAAAACAAAAAAGAAGAAATGAGAATAAAGATCGCTGAAGATCTAAAGAAGTTTAAAACAAAACAAGGATACATGATGGATCAAAAGGCTAAGAAGTATATAGGTAAATATAACAGATTGAAAAAGTTTCTTCATAGATTTAATTTAGGTATTGTAAAAGCAGATAAATCAAGGCAATTAATAATAATGAATTTAACAGATTTAGACAAAAAGAAACAGGAAATTATAAAAGAAGGAAATTTTGAAAAATTAGAGTTAGATCCAACAAGTAACATACAGAAATTATTGAAGAAAATTGTAGGAAAATTAATAAAAGAAGGAGCTATTTCAATTACTGAAAGTAAAGAACTATTACCAGGAGAAAATGTGAGAATGCCAAAGTTAAATGTTCGTATTAAGACACACAAACAAAATAAATGCAGACCTATAGTAGACTTTAAGATGACCGTGTTATATAATTTAGAGATATTTTTAAAGAAATCATTACAGGTTATATTAAACTCTGAACTTAGTATAAAAAATACTGATAGTTTAATTTCAAGATTAGAAGCAGGAAGAATTTTGCCAGAGTACCGTTTAATGAGTATAGATATAGTGTCAATGTATCCATCGATTACAAAAGAAATGATTATACAGAGTTTAAGTGAGTATAACACCCCTTCAGATTTAATATCATTAATAACATTTGTATTGGAAAACAATTTCTTTGCAGTTAAAGGCGAGTACTTTCGACAAAAGGATGGAATATCCATGGGCTCGGTGGTCGGCCCAAAGCTGGCAGAGATTGTTATGAAAAATATAGATAAAACGTTGCTGAACTTAGGTGGAATAGTTTTTCTGGCACGGTATGTCGATGATATATTTATTATTTATAATAGTAAAATAACATCACCAGAAAAAATCTTAAAAGAAGCTAATGAAATTAATGAACATATTAAGTTCACCTATGAGTGTGAAAAATTAGATAGTCTAAATTATTTGGATATCACAATAACCAGGTTTAAAGATCATTTGGAGTATAGTAGGTATGAAAAACCTTGTAACACAAATAAAGTTATAAATTTTAGATCGTATTGTCCAATTAATCAAAAAAGAAATATTTATTTAATGGAAGTAAAAAAGATATTTTCTAGAACAACCAGAAGTGAAAAAAGAATAGAAGAACTCAAAAAAATAAATAAGAAGTACTTGTTGAACAATTATCCGAAAAGATTGCTGAGGAACTGGTATGATGAATATTCAAAAAGAAGATTTCAAGTAAAGCAACAAAAAGAAAGTAAAAAGTATGTTTCTTTTCCATATATCCAAGGTATTTTCGAAAAATATAAAAAAATTTTCTGTGAAAACTTAATACAATTGGCTCCATTGCAAAAAAATAGATTATCTGAATTAATTAGAACTGAACCTTACAGAAAGAAAGATTTATTGGAAGAAGATGGAGTGGTTTACAGGCTTCAATGTACGTGTGGAGTACCGTATTACTACGTTGGAGAAACGAAACGGAAACTAAAAGTGAGGATGTCGGAACACTTGGCAGCAGTACGAAATAAAATTAATACATCCCCGGTATTTTTGCATTGCCATGTTAACAACTGTCAATTAGATATTAATAATGTAAAAATAATACATAAAGAGAAAAATATTGTAAAAAGAAAATTTAAAGAACATTTCGCGATAATTATGCAAAGTAATGTAATGAATTTGAATAATGGGGTGATACCAGCGGAATGCTGGGAAGAGTTTGTGTTACTTAAAGATTGTAAACGCGATAGTATCAGTGAGAAAGATGTGTTTTCTTCTGTGTCTACGACGGAGAAAAATGTGTCGTTTGAGATACCTTCTGCTGTTCCTATTGTACACTCTAGTAGTCAGAAACCCTACTGAAGAGGCCTTGACAGGCGAAATGCATTTGGGGTGAAGTATATATTTATATAAAAATAAAATTATATTTTCCTTGTTAACCTGTTTACCCTTTTTTAATTTTTTATATCAGTCTACGGACTCGGGACTTATTAAGCCTCCAAAAGTCAGAAACGAATGGAAAACTAGTAGTTTTCCGTGTACTAAAGATTAGTACAGTACGGTAATATAAAAAAAAAAGTTACATTGCATTACTGAGTTCTCAACAGTAGCTCTTGGTATATCACTTTCTTCCTGCCATAAGCCATTGTGATTTTGCATAACCCCACAAACAGTTTTGTTTTAAAACTGATTAAAAACATTTGCAATGATGTCTTCATGTCTTATTTCATTTAACAATATTGCAGACTGCGCCATTTCCCATTGGTGGTGAGTTTTTGAACTATTTTTTTTTTTGCAGGAAATAAAATCTCATGACATCCTGTACACTATTACAAAGTTTGATAACATTCTGTCCAATAGTTTTCATTTTATGGCCATTTCAAAGTGGAACTTTAACTATAAACACCCTGCATATTATTTGTAAAACATTCTCTTTCATACTTCTTAAAATTGTTTAAATGCAAATCCCACTAATGCTGTAAGCTTTAACAGATAATTTAAAACATTATAATCAATTGGTATTATTAAATAAACAAATTAACAATTACCAGAATCTTGGTCATAGAATAATTAATTAACATTCTAAATTAATAGTTAATTTATGATTTGGTATTTAATATATATTTCAGTTTGATCTTTTAGCTATTCAGAAATATATTTATTAAATTAAATATCCCATAACATTTGATTATTAAAAAAACAGAAAATTTATTATTTAAAAAACTTTTTACCACTAAATAAATTGTTAAAATGTATTTTGGTACAAATATCAAATTTTCAATCTTTTAATGCTAAAATAACTAAGTTAAAAATATTAATTTACCTGTATTGGCATTTGCTGCTGCTATAAGACTAACCATTAGAGATGATTTATTAAAATGAATAACCTATAATATTAAATTATAATAAATTATTCAAGCAAGTTTTAAAAATAAGACAACTTTTATTACTGTTATAATTTAATAAAAAACATTTTTCAATTTAATACAATGGCAATTATATATCAAATAGAGAATTAGATATTACAATTAAAATAATAACTCTGTTGCCAGTCAGCACCTTATCAGGTGAAGAGAGCTGAGTAGTTCCAATAAGCTATAGAGCAATGTTGGCAAGATCATAAGATTCCATTAGGATCATGTATGCCAGTAAGATCCATGAAAAGAAGTGAAGCAAAAAGCTTCATTTCTCTTCAGACCTTAATGTCATTTGGATTGAACACTGTCACAAGTAATATCCAATCCATATAGATTACTGATATAGGTTGTTTCCTGTGATTGTGATGCATTCTCAACAGGGGCATTGCCAGAGTTAACAAAATCAGCATTTGTGAGTTAGGCAGAAAATCCCATTCAAGAAAAACAGTCTGCCACAGTCTCTGTTGGTCACTAGTGGTAAATGCACCTCTAGCCAAGTGTAACTATTATATCACAAACACATTCATCACTTCGCTCACTCACAATGGACAACACAAACCTGTACAAAGTGCTTTAGTGGCAATTCAGTCACTAACCACAAAGACTGGAAAATCATGCCAATTAATGAAGTGAACACAGGAAATCAATGAATTCATTATCTGTATTTATTTCATTATCATAAAAGATGAAACAAACATGTCTGTATAAAGACAAATATTGCATAACAAATTCACTCTAAAATAGCACATCTCATTGTTACAAAAAAAGGGTTGTTGATCAGAAAATAACAATCATAGGGCGTTCTTAGGAAGTCTGTTCATCATGTAAACATCTATACCTGCCAAAAAGTAAGATCTACTTGTTCTGTTCTGCAACTTCAACAACAGTAAGTTGATTGCTGCTAGGCAACAGTCTACACAAATCTATTTTGCTGTATAAAACTGTCAGGCAGAAACTATCCTTTACAGCAGGGATTACCAACAGAGTTAATATAGATCCCATGGGGGTCAATGGAACTCAAAGAGTCAATTGGGAGTCGATAGAAAAATTAGATATTTATTGTACTGCTTCAATAATTTCAGATAATTTTCAAATAAGAACAACAACAATCATGTGGGAAATTCATTAACTGATTTAATAATTTACTTGATATATTACACAAAATCTTGAAAAATAACAAAAGTTTTAAGGCAGTCAATTGAAAATAGAATCTTCTAAACAAATGGTCAATGCAAGAAAAAAATTGGGAACCCCTGCTTTCACAGTAAAACAGTACTAAAGAATAATAATGCTATCATTTCTATTACCAATAAGAGTTCCTGTATATAAATAACTTAATAATATGGATTAGGATTTTTTGATAAAATCTATTTCATAAACATACTTGATAGTTGTTATAGGTTGCCATAATCCATTTATTTTTTCCTAAACCAAGTTTTCCTCCTTGATCTGTAACTGTTGCAACTGTTGATAAAATGCTTGGTTTTAATGCTACTTCTGGCACTTCATCATCTGAAACTATAATATAAGCTTTTGTTAAATTTTGCAATAATACATAGTAGAACTTCTGTTATTAAAATATAAAATATCATCCTGTGAAAATGAAATGAAATATGAATGAACATCCTCATTAACTCGAACCAGAATAACTAAGTCATTTTCTTTCCCCAATTATCTGGCATAACATGTTAAATCAAACTGGTTAATTTACAATAGATTAGTAAAATATAGATTATGCTACAATTGTTTTTTTCAATTTTCATAGGTTTCTTCTATGAGATTGGGAAAATGTGGCTAAACTGATCTCCATTCGTAACTAATCATAGTAGTGAATATAAGTTACTGAATACAATACACAAGGCAAATAAATAATTACATTGAAAAAACTAAAGATTAATTCATGTAAATATTTCATTCTACTTTTTTGCTCATCGGTTGTTATTTTTTGAATTCCAACAGGTATGACTGGTGTAAAATGATCAAATGATGAAAAAGAAAAGCCTTGTTGTGAGCTTTAGGCAATTGATTTGGAGACCAAAAGAAAAATCATCCATAAGCACAAAGATGGCTAAATCTTTGACATAACTGTTCATGATTGTATAAAAAGAATATAAAAAATTCTTTATATTATATTCAAATTATGATTAAAACTGACTTTTGTATAAAGTGCTGGATCAATCAAAAGATGTAGGTTGAAAATCACCTATAAAAATTTGAATGATTCTCATATCGCTGACTGCTACTTGAATGATATGAATAACAATAATAATTGAATGATTATTCAATCTATAAAACTTCTTCTTTTGATTAAACTTTCACAATTTCTCAGATGTTTAATGATAAAATGCTGATTGTAAAACACTATATTTTCCACACTAAGCATAAAGATGTGAAAGTCTTAAAACAAATTGACGATCGCATTTAAATACAACTTATTTCATATGTAATTTTAATTTATAAAATTATTAACTAGTCAGAGAGTTCATATTTTTAATAAATATGCTTAAAAAGTGAAAGTGCTATCAATTGTCCATTATGAAAATAAATCAAGAATCAAATTAACTTATTTAATTGACTACAGGTGTTCCCCTACTCACAAACATACAACTTACAATTTGATCATACATCTAAAATTTAAATTTTGCACATATTCTGAAGTTTTCTTGTGCTGTGGAGTTATGTTGAAGTAAGTCTTTGGACACTAATAAATAATAAACTTTCAATAAATAATTAATGTGGCTTATTTCTATCGTAATTTGCCATTTTTTTTTTTATACCATCCATCGTGAGGTACTATTAGAATAATAATATTTTTCATTATTGTTTACAGTTTTTACAAATGTTTACAATTAATGTTTCAAAAATGCATCCAAAATGTAATAGCATTAAAGACAAATGTAACTGTTGCTCTTTCACCATGGAAATGAGACCGGACATTATAGAACTAAGGGTATTAGGTGATAAAACTGTGTTTGAAAGGCCTGCTAATAAACAGTAGTAAACAGGTAATTGAGTGTAATGTATTCTATTAAGTGTATTAAAGAACCAAACATACAATAAGTGGTTATTCTATAAACAAATGTACTTTATAGGTTAATTTTCAACTTATGACAAAACCTCAGGAATGTAACTTGTTCATATGTAGGGAGCATCTATATTATTTTTTTACATTTGATAAGAAACTGCCTACTATCTAGTACAGTGTTTCCAGGGAGCAAAATTGCTCTCTCATGGGTAAAAATAATATTTTGGCATAAAATTTCAAATATACTCTAATGAATTTTTTTAATTTTTTGAACAATTTTTTCTGTAAATATGGTAATTATTGATCTGTATTACATTCAAAATTTCTTGATATTATCATCTCACTTAAGTTTTAATTTTTATTTCTCGAAAATGAATAAATCAATGACTGAATACTAATTTCAGTCAAACAATTCCATTACATTTAGCTAATAATACATAACTAACTAGTCATTTTACAATTTTTTTTTACAAAATGTTATTACAATTATTATTATATTATAAATATTTTATCATCAAATAAATGATAAAAAATATTTTTTAAAAATTTTAAAAGAAACACTTTTTATACACACAAATGCACTAAAAAATATTAAATTTTTTAGTGCATTAGTAAGAGCTGAAAAAAATTTTTTTTTCAGCTCTTACAGTATTCTTGATATTATGTAACAAAAAATAAAAGTGTGAATTGCTCAAGTTTAGAAATATTCTTAGTTACATTTTCTATCAATTTTTATGGGCTTCCCACGAGCACCCTATGTTTTTATTTTTGGTCACATAATACCAAGGACATTGTGAAAGCTGAAAAAATTTAATAATCCAATGATCACCTAAATATTCGGGCTATAATATGGCTATAATCAAATAATTAATACAAATAAATTTGGTACTAGAGGTAAGCATTAGGTGCCATATCATATCTAAATTAATAATTATAATTTTTAGTAGTAATTCAAACACAAATTATTATTGTATTTATTTTCAGGCACTTGGCAATTTTTATCATCAAATTTTATTTAGTTGACCTAGGTCGTCTGCGGACGATTTGGTGCCCACACATCACACCTGCAAGGTCTGTTACGAGAAGCGGACAGCGTAAACGCCTCGACGCCGTCCTGATGCTCATCAGGACGGCGTCACTTCCAGAAGTATTTAAATTTCAATATAACCTTCCACAATTATATCAAAATACTTCTGGAAGCGAAGGCTGGCTTGGGATCCAGGTGGCACAATTGGTAGTGCACTGCATGACAAGTGGAGGCTGTGTGTTCAAGCCCCGCCTGGGTCAGTTATTTTCTTCCAGAGGGTTCTAAATTATTAACCAAATAATTATAATTTTAATAAATTTATTAAAGAGATGGCACGTAATGTCTACCTCTAGTAGCAAATTTATTTGTATTAATTATTTGATTATAGCCATATTATAGCCCGAATATTTAGGCGATCGTTGGATTATTATATTAACTCATCTAGCTTTGAGATGTGTATTACTGAAAAAATTATTTTTAGTGCATTTAATGTGAATAAAAAGCATTTTTTTAAAGTTTTTTAACACACTTTTTATTTTCTATATTTTAGTTTTATATATTGAATACTCAATTATTATAATTCTTCTTGATTTAGCATTTAATTGGGAAGTAGAGTGAAAAATTGAGTTACAAGATTTTATGTAGACAGTACAACTAAAACAGGTAAAAGCACTTGTCACTTTGCATCACTTAAGGCACTCGCTTATTAAACTTTCTGTAGTGTCATCTGTTATCAGATTTTATTTACAAATTTAAATTTTTTGCTAATTGCTAAAATTGTTTGCAAACTAAAAAAATATATTGTTATCAGGAATACAAAGATATGCAAAGTTACTAGATTGGAAACTGGATGAAAATTGAGTTACAAGATTTTATCTAGACAGGCAGAATAAGTTGTTAAAAAGCCTACAAAAAAAGCATAAATTGCACAAATAAATTTTTTTTAGAGATTCATACTAACAACAAATGCTTTATTCTCAAATTCCAAAATTATCCTTTTTCCTACCACATGAAAAATTTTATCTTCATAATGAAAAAAACAAACCTGTGAATAAAACAAGCTGAAGTATAAACTTGAGATGTAATCTTTTCTTATCAGGAAAAGACTATACATTCTATTGGGTTGTCAACTATGAAATGTTCATTTCTCAGTGCACCTTATTTTGCATATATATAATAAAAATAACTATATTGAGATAGGATGTTGCATTTTTCTACCTGGTGGTATGGTTATTTCATTTTATGAATTAGTCCACTATGAGTTCTAAAGAAATATAGATCAGGCACTTAATGCTTTTTGAGTTCCATAAGGCAACAACTGGGCAACAATCAACTGGACAGTCAAGTGGGCAATGGAAACTTAAAAATTTTTGCATACTTAGCAAGCATTCAATTTTGTGGATACTTTTTATTTATTTATTTGTAAATATTGGTAAAATATATATAAATATAAATATGGTTAAAATTTGAGGTACAAGTTATAAGTTACAAACTATAGTTATGAGTTATTTCCAACTTAGAAAAAGTAAATGTTTTTAAATAACCTACTGTAGCATCTTTAATCTTGTCAAAAGCAGTTCTTCAAAAACAAATTCCTTCAAAGAACTTTTATACTTTTTTGTTTTAATGTATATTATATTTAATGTATAGTGTAATGTATTTTTAATTTTATGTAATTATTATCTTTGTTTTTATGTATATTTGTTAATTTTGGGGGTAAATAGATATCAACTGTCCTTCAAGACATTTCAATTGACTTGTAAAAATAAATAAATAAATAAATAAGATATGTAATGTGTATAAATATGTTTGTTAATTACAAAATTGTTCTTTTAACTGGTTTAACTAGTTTCTTAAAAAACATTATTTAAATTTACTGAGTAATATATCAATATAAACAAATGGTAATTTTTTTATAAAGAAAAAAAAATTTGTATTTTGTGTATTGTTCATCCCTTATTTTGTTGCCCGGATGTCCAGCACCCAGTTGAAAGTGTCCCTTTCATAAGGGGTCAAATGTAGCTTATGCTACAAGAAACATCAATGACATTTATGAAAATGAAGTGAGTGAGTAAAAGTATTGTCAATGGTTTGGAAAATTTTGATTTACAGATTCAGCCTTGAAAAACCATGCAGATGGCAATTCTCCAATGCAGGTGAACTGTAAGGCCTTACAAACACTTGATGAATCCAATGTGAGTCAAACATTACAGAAAATGACAGATTTTGAAGTGCTCGCAGGAAGCAGTACAAAAAACCTGCAAGAAATTGGTAAAGTCTCGAGGGAAGGTATTTGGGTTCCACATCAGCTTTTTGTAAAAAACAGCATTCAAAGAATGATGATTACAACTTCACTTCTGCATCAAATCCAGAACATGCATGTTGAGATGGAAGAAAGCTATAGAAATTAATTAAATCTGTTCTGCTCACATACAATGTATCATTAAAGTCTTTTAATAAACTGGACATTTCATAGTTAACAACCTAACAGATTATTATAAAAAAGAAAAAGTGAAAAAGTTATATAATAAAATTATAAAAACTAATCTTCACATATTTTATTTTTGTATACAAAGTTATTGACTTTAGCAAATATTGACTATAAGAAAATTTAACTATAGATGTTATAGTTAATGTATTAGCTAATATATTTATGTTAATATTTTTAAAACTTTATCTTAACTAAATATTGAATATATTTTCAAAATTTTTTACCTTTTAATAAAGGAACCCCATCACGATCAGTAATCACTATACTATGAAGGCCATCAATTCTGCAGAAAAAATTTTTATGATGACGTTATGTTGAGCAATTGGACAAAGCTTTTATAATTTTGATAATGAAAAATAGAGGTATTGATTATTATTAAAGTATCTATATCTAAAAACTAGATTTACAATTATTTTTAAATATAAAAAATAAAATGTATATAACATAATAAAATATTTCAATTAATTTAAATCAGTTTTTATTATGTTTACTAGAAATTTTTCTACCATGCATGATGGAATTTCTTGAATTCACTACTTTCTCACAGAAAGTAGAGAATTCAAAAATTCAAGAGCAGCTGATATTTCTACAAATTAACTAGCTTGTACTATCCTCACCTCCTCAGCTGTTTACTTACAAATATATATTAATTAATTATTAATTGAAGGAGGGGAGGTCCTCCAGGTATCACTCAAAGGTACGACCTGGAGGTTGGAAAGTTCGGAAGGAAGAGTGAGGGTTATGAAGAATAGGGGATGAGGTTGGGACAGGTAAAGTTGAGAACACATAGCGCTTGCATTTATTAAACCAATAAGCAAATACAGTGGTATAACAAATGAATACATTAACAGGGAAATACTAGAAAATATATACAATTAGATGGCGCGACAACTTATAACAGACAATAAAGGAAGTACAACTAAGATTTAAAGAACCCGACAATATTATATAATTGACAATGAACATAACAGCTGATGAATGCTGACCACGTGTACGTAGTAAAAAGTAATAAACAGATTATTAATCAGGAGTTACACAAAATATTTACAAGACAGATGACAGAATGGAGCCAGTTGCTAATGCTAAAAGCTGTCCAGGGCTGAAGGATACCCATTTAGGGTAAGAAAACACGCACAGTTCGAGGCAAGCACACTGGGAAGAAAAGTTCGTTCACGTAGTTGCATGCTCGTCTTTGGTGTTAGGTAGATTCCTTGGTGGGTTGAGAGCTTCAGTGGCTGATAAGAAGTCATTGAGTCTGCTGTAGATGACCTTGTTTTCGATGAAAACATTAAGTGGGCAAGGCCAGTTAAAACCTTCATAGAGGACGCTGTCTAGAAGGTTGTTTCTTTTGTCGTCAAAGAGACTACAGTCAAACAGATAATGTTTACTGTTTTGGATTGAGTTATTGTCACAGTCACAGGTGTCCTCGTTGCGGAGGTTGAAGCGCTTTACTTACAAATATAATCAAACACCAAACATTTGCTGAGCTTACTGCTTGGAAATATGTGATAGAAAAGTAAATAAGAATTAAAAACTCTTAAACTTGTGGCAGTTGTATTTTAACTGACTTTAAGTATATTTTTTACATTTTGTTTAATTATATAATATGTTAGTATTTTGTTAACTATTTAATATTTACAGTTTAATGTAAAGATTTAAAAAATATGTTAGAAAATTTTAAATTTAAAGAATGTTCGAAAAGCTTTGTGTTTGATTGTAGAACAGTAATTTCCTGAGGATGGCCTATTAAAAATAGGCTGAAAGCATTTGAAAATTAAATTAATAGCTTAGCAAGTGTTTGGTGTTTGATTATATTTGTAGCCTATATTAGCACATGATTGATGTGCTAATATATTTTAAATAACAGGTTCATTAGATCATACTTCTGATTGGATAATAGAACATTTGTGATCAATATAGAATTTTTTTAAAAATTTATCATAGAATCAACACAATACAACTATTTTTGTTTTTAATTTAATGTTTAAATTCTAAATTTAAAATTATACTATTTGCCAAAATATTTTAAAATGCAACTTAAGATGAATGACATCACTGAGCTGAAATCACTTAAACCTTTCTTTTACAGCCAATAGGTAGTATTTTTTCAAATTAAGTATGCTATAATTTGTCAGAACATAAAAAGACTATAATCAAAATTTCACCTGAAATGGACAAAAATAGCAGGAGTTAACATGGTATGTCAATATAGATATATCATGTTTCTAAATAAAGGAATTATAGGTATCCCTTGTATAACATGGTAGTTACGTTCCAAAAAAGTGCCATACATGAATCTGTGCTATATGAAACAAAGGACTAATGTAAAACATGGGGTTAGGTTCCAGAAGTTAGCAAAAATATACTATTATTTTTCGTTACTAAGAGAAATATGTTTATTAAAGCAATCAATAATTCATTTCCAATCAATAATTAATTAACAATCACAATTAAAAGTACTGTATTACATGTTAATATTAATTTTAGATAAATCAGGGCATTTTCTTTTTACAAAGTATTATTGTCTTAGTTTTTTAAAAATATCGAATAACAAAGTTTACACTTAAAAATTGTGAAATTTTGTACAAAGGATTTTCAAAACTGTGTTAGAGCGAAACTGGAATCATGTTGTATGGGGGTATCCCTAATTTTGAAACCGTATTAGAGCGAAACAGTTATAGAAGTACCATTAGTATAGGTATCCCTCATACAAAAAGAACATAACAATAAAAAATAATTAATACATGTTATGAAGTAGCACCATCTGTGGAGAAAGAGACAACAAAGAAAGCCACAAAGAAAGTTGGTTATTACATTAATAATACTTCATACAATTTTCAACTATAATCTAAAAATATTTTATTACAATAAACTTACAGATTATTAAACTCTTTTAAACAATTTTTTGAATATTTTTTCTAATTTTAAAAATCATCCAAACATTTTTTTGTTTTGAGCTTTCTAACTTGGAAATCATAATAAAATATGCAAAAATAATTTTAAGTTCATTCTGTATAGATCTTTTGTGAAATGCTACATGCATTATGACACTATTAATAAATTGACTTTGTATAAAAAAATTATCAATAAACCTTTTTATATTTAATTATAAAATTAAATCTTAAAGCTTAGAAAACCAAAGCTAGTGTACACAAATAAATAAAAAACACCAATAGTTTATAACTTTCAAACATGTATCATCTGTAGACTGAACTAGAGAATTAACCTTCATTAAAAAAGCAACAAACAATTAGTTAATTTTTTAAAGTTAATAAAAATAGCTATAAATTTTAAGATCAAAACAAAAGAATAAATATTAGGGAATGTGTTTAAAATACATCAAAATAATAAACCATTACTTATTGAAATCTTTTAATAAATAATTGCAGATAATTATTGGTATCTATAAAAATGCTAGATGATTTAATTATAATTTTAGTTTCATTTTCAAGTTATATTCTTTTGTAATTAGCACAACTTAGAATTAAAAGTTTAAAATCAGCATAATTAAATATTCTGTTAAAGTTTTAAAATGTATATTTTAAGCTTTCTAGTTAATTTACACCTAATCCTCAACTTACATGGTACTTAAATTTCGCAAGATCCAAGAATGTGACAAAATTTTATTTTATACTATAGGATTTTAGCTTAATAAGATAAAACACTAACAAATATTTTATATTATTTTAAAATTAAGTATTTTCATTGATAAAATTAATGTTTTGCTCTGTGCTAACTCTTATGGTAATGCAATTGCATTATTGAAACTTCCATGTTTTTAGAAATTGGGATTCTCCATTTTGTGCTGTCATGATTCATACCACATACATTAAACTTCGCTAACTATCAGGAAATTTATAAAAATTAAATAGAAATAAAAACAAGCTTTGATGGTAGATTTTATTAAGATAGGACTATAAATGCCATAAGTAAACAAATTAGGAAAAAAGTCATTCCTCAATTTTCAATATAAATGCTAGTCTCAATTTACCTAATTTTGATTTTACACAAAACCAATCTATATAAATCAAAAGTTAGGCATATATTTCTGATTATAATTTATTTTACTATAAATAGGAAATTAATAGTTGTCATAAAATATTTCACAATTAAAAGATTAGAAAACATTATATATGAAATAATTATTAACAGGGAACAAGAATAAGAATAAACCACACTGTCTTTTGGCATTAAAATTGTTTACTTAAAAAAGTTTTGAACTACAAGCATTTTTGAACTTTTGACATTTCAAAATGTCATCTTCAGGCAGAGTATATATAACATTCAAATTTCAATTCTTTAAAAAGTACATTAAAAGATTCCAAATGCATGGTCTTTGTGCATAGTTTTTACAGAAATTTGAACAGATGTAACAAATTTTTTAGATTAAGATAAATAGAAAGCATATTATCAATTAATACAAGAATAAAAGAAAAACAAAAATGTAGCAATCCTAAAATATGAATGTTATAATTTTAATGTTTTATAAAGTGTGATGAACATCTCTGGTAGTTCAAGAGTGGGTTTGTTAAAGGGCTCTAACATTGTTATGTATAATATTAGAGTCCTGGTGTCCACCCATCTGTCTGCCTGTCTTTCCTTAATCTTGAGAACACAGTTAGATAAATGAAAGTCAAGACCAGATATGGAAAGCTTAAGGACCGATTAACTATATACAAACTTCCAGTCTCAATCAGAAGTCAGTATATTCCCCAAGAAAGATAGTTCTGCAATTTAAACATCGCTAAAAAGGAAAGCTTCAGCTCAAACACGTAAAATCATTCTCTAAAACTTTTCCAGCAAGATCAGTAGTAATCCTATCATTACTAATGTCATCCTGGTAATCTTGAAAACAGTAAACTAATTTTCTGATAGTAGCTCAAAGACAGAAGGTTTTTGATCCTGTACACATTTGCTGCAAAGGGATCAAATACCTTTTATATATGAGCTACTATCAGAAAATTAGCATACATTTTCAAGAACACCAGGATGATGATGATAATAGGATCACTACTGACCTTGCCTGAAGTTTTACAGATTAATTTTACACCTTTATGGGTTGAAGTTTTCCTTCTTAAGCAATGTTTAAACTGCAGAGCCATCTTTCTATGAGAGTCACTACACATAATGTTAGAGCCCTGTAACAAACCCACTCTTGAACTATCACAGATATGGGTTACACTTTACAAAGTGTTAAAATAATTCATCATTTATTCATTTTATTTTAAGATAAATACATCAGAATATATTAACAGGTTAAAATTATAACATATTCATATTTTAAGATTGCTACATTTTTTGTTTTATTTTTTGTGTTTATTGATAACATGCTTCTTATTTATCTTAATCTACAAAATTTATGTTGCATCTTTTCTAACTTCTGTAAAAGCTATATGCTAAGATTTAAACCACAGATTTGGAATCTTTTAATGTACTTTAAAAAAATTAAAATTTGAATATTATGTACACTTTGCCTAAGGATGACACTTTGAAATGTCGAAAATGCTTGTAGTTAAAAAACTTTTCAAGAAAACAATGTTAACACCAAAAGAAAGTGTAGTTCATTCTTTACTCAGTACATTTTGATAAAACTGGAAACATTATTTAAGTAAAAAAATTTTAAAAATAACTTACCTAGACATAATGTCATATAAATATTTCTTCATTTCCTAAATAAAAATGTTTAATGTTTATATAAACACAAAAGCAATTTTGATAAAATTATTTCAATTTTTAATAATTCAATTAAGATTGTTGTTTCAATTGAATTTCATTAAAATAAATTGTCATGGTGACTAAAAAACTGTTTACATAAACAAAATAATTTGAGTCAAGTTACATCATCACTTGTATAAAAAAAAACATGTCTTGGCTTTACCAAAACTTATTGATAGTAATAGTGAAAATATTTCATAAATATTTGACCTGTTTCTATTTCTTCATTTGTTTAAATATTTAACCACTAATAAATATTATTATTTTACTGTTCTTTTTCAATAGAACAGTTAAGATTAAGAACACATTAAAATTACATTTAAATAATTCTCAGTGAGATAAGATGATGTTGTGGAAACTAACATTCCATAAAACATTAAGCTAATTTTAACATACATAAATGAATTCTTACTTTATGGAAGAGCAGCAAAAGGATGCAAGATTTAATACTAAGGGATCAACACACACTCAGTAGTAATGTAACTCAAGGTAGTTTTGATAAAATTACTTTCCTAGACTTAACCACAGAGCCAGCCTGAGGGGGGTGTGAACAGTGCGAGCACACAAGCCTATGACTGAGTTTGCAAAATGAAAATGGTTTCGTTTTCTTTTTCTTTCTAGTTTTAATATACATACATTGTTATATATGCTACTTAATATATATACATTGTTATATATAATATGCATACTTGTTATATATGCTATCCCAAAAATAAATTTTCAAGAGATGATTTTGAAATGTCTCCAATAACTAAATTTAAATTATGACTTTTGCATACAAAATGGTGTGACAAGTTTTTTACTTGTGTTATGCCATTTCGTATGATAGCCATTCTAAATTTATCAGTTATAATTTCAGGCCAAGTACCAGAAACATTGATATTGACATTTTAGTCTTCTTTGCTTTGTTTATTCTCTTGAAGCTGCAGTCCTTGGAATAATTCATCTTCTTTGTTTGATGCCAACAAAATAATCCTCTGTCTGTATGTTTCCCTCTGCTTCATCATTATCTTTCCATTGCTCAGTTTTCTTATTATCACTTTTCTGTCATTAAGACGAGAGCTGGCTTTATGATGATCCAGATCATTTACATGGATGTCGCATAGCGTAATTTTATTTCCGTGAGTTTGATCTTCCAGTAACTGTGAATTGTGTGTTTCTTCAGTTTGTTGCACATTTTCAGTTTTTAAAAATTTTATAAGAAAGCTTTTCTGTTTTACTGCAATTTCTTCTCTCTCTTTTTTTTATTTAATGAAATCAAAATTTGTCGTCGAGTTTTGCCTTCCAGGATCACAATATTATAAATATTATAGTATTTATTTTAAAATAATTTGAATTATATCCAAATTTTGTTACTGTTCTGAAAATTATATTAACCTTATCAATTACTGTCACATCTGCAGAAAGATCTCTCTCAAGATAAAAAATTACTTGAGAGCTAGCATTAGTCAAGAGAGATTTACCTCCTTAGCCATTTTATCTATCGAATCTGAATTTGTCAAAAAACTGAATTATGATGACATCAATGAAATTGCTATAAAACATGTAAAAAAAAATGAAAAAAATCACATATTGTAAAACCTTATTCTAGTAAGTTGCATACCAAATTGTATATGAATCAATTATTCTTGTTATTTAATTTATTAACAATTTTTTGTGTGATTGAAATGTTAAATAATTAAATTAATTTAATAAAATTATCATTTTATTATACTCCTTACTATACCAATTTGTACAGTGTAATAAATAGCAAAATGCAATAAATTATTTTGTTGTACGAAATTTGTTTCAAGGCCCCACAAGTCAACTTTGCACCAGGCCCCGCTTTTGATTGGGCCTCCCCTGCTTAACCATTTACAAAAATGAGAGCATGCATCAGCTCTAAAATCTATCATAAGAAAATTATTATTGATTCCTTTGTACATTGGAAGTCAATGATTCAAAGGCAGCCACACTTTTAGCATTTAGAGCACTAGTAAAAGAAGCGATTTCTCACTCTTCAGAGAAACAAGACATAAATAAAAAATTTATGATAATTAGAAAAATTGCTAATGAACAGTTTCCAAAATAATAAAATAAATAGAACTATTAACTATTAAATAATGAAACTATTAGTTTCATTAGCAAACAAGTAAATAAGGATAATATTCAGAATAAACAAAAAGAATTACAAGAATTAGTTACAGATAAATCAGTAGCAGCAATGGAGTTTCCTTCAAAATAGGGACTTTCAAGTCAACAGGGGAAAAAATGAGGAAAAGTATTAATGGGGAAATTTCCCCATTAATACTTTTCCTTGTTTTATATTCTCAAAGAGAAATTGAAAAATATATAAATTTTTTTATTTAATGATAATTTAACTTACTATTAAAAATTGTTTTTAAGCTTTATTGAATCACATGGTATTATTAGCTTGCCTAAATGAAGAAAATTCCAATTAAGCAAGTCAAAATATCTGAATGTTTGTATCTTTATTTAGTTGGTTATTAGAATTATTTGGAGAATGTTCACTTGCCTTACTTGCATATATAAAAGCCAATCTTTGAACCATCTTTCTTACGTCTCTGTTTAACTATGATGTTCTCAATATGTTTTAATTCCTCCAGTGTTTCAAGGATGTTTGAGCAGTGTGTGAATGCTCATTTAATTAAATATCTGTTATGCAACAATAAAGATGAGATAACTGTTTTGCAAGCACCAGAGGTAAGTAGTGTCCCAGCTTCAGATAAAAGACTTAATCCTAACCTCATATATATTAGGTCCACCAATAGATACTTAAAAGGCTAGCAGAACACAAATACGACATCATATAGAAAAAACTGATTCCTACTCTGTCAATCTTTGCCACTGAATCAGGTGTCAAAGTTAACTTCAGACAAGCCAAATTAATCAGGCATACCATCCACATTGACCAAATCAGGTCACTTGAAACCCTGAAAATATACAAGGTGACAAATACAGGAGAATGCCTCAATTTCAAAGACAGTAAGAAGTTATCAACCACCCGGCAATCTTTTCTATGACAAACTTAACAACTCAGGAAAATGGTGTTTTTAATTAAGGAAATTTATATTTGAAACACTGAACTAAACCTTTCATTTTAATTTTTATCAAATTGCACATTATTATATAATTAGTTTTGTATGAAACACACTTATGAAGTTCAAAATTGTTTCAAAGTTTAAATTTCGTAACATTTGTATTAGAACTAATGTGTTCTAAAAATAGAATGCATAAATATGTCTGATGCAAACCTATTAATAGATTAAAATTATTTGCTCCTTGCCAATTTTAGAATAAATTATCAAATACTTTTTTTATTAAAAGGTTATTTGGTTAAAAAATAATGGAGTCATTGTTTGAAAATTGGTATAACTTTTCAAAAGCTATTATAGTAAAATGCTATTAAGTGAGCAGTCATAGAGCAAGTGTTAGCAATTCAATGTCATATGTGACATGCAAGTTTTTACTCCAAAAATTTTGATATGTTGTTAAACTAAAAAATTTTAGGTTTTGTTTATTTTTTTATTGAATATTTAATTTTTCACATTTTTAACATTTTGTAATAAATATATCTTTATTGTTGAGATAACATATTTATATATACATATAAATTTGGAATAACTCAGCTATTCACTTTATATGAAGATAACTGTTGAAGGGCCAACATCTTCACATAAAATGGTTAGATTATTTAAGATAATCATCATAATCAATATTTAGTATTGCAAACAAATACAGATTTATTATTCGTATTACTGATTCATACATTTCAATTATACCCTACTTATTATACTCTCATATTTATTGCATTTTTTATATGCATATTAATCCTATTGATCAATATCACATGTTCTCAGCAAGGACAGCATCAAGGGGGATCAATGGAAAAAATTTTCTTAAAAAGAGTCAATAATATATAATTACATCTTTGAATAAGATGGTTGGGACCTTATCAGAGCTGTAGCCCATGCCCATGTGAGCAAAAAAAGTCAAAGGAATCATACCTCTATATGTGACCCATGTGATATACATTCCCAGAAATCAGCCTACTTCTAGGACGCATGCAAATGGGAGTCATATCACTCTGTTAAGACTATTGCATTTAACTATTTAACCCACATGACTATGCTTGCTTTGAATAGCCCATTTAAATGTTTGTGGAGTAATTGATGTTATATAATTTTAGGGAGGTTAACCCCATACAAATGCCAAGGTATAAGCAATAGTGAGCACTGTAGTGAGTGACTACATCTTGACTGATGCAGAGCTTGGAAAATAGGCAGCAGTACAGTACTGATACACAATAAAAACCAGGACCGTGGAGTTGGAGTCACGGAGTTTTGGTGTTTTAGCCCGAGTCGGAGTTGTAAAAAAACCATCGACTCCAACTCCTTTTTACTTTCCAACTTGTTACGTATATAAAATGGAAAAGTATTAAAATTGTGTCAAATTTGACCCTCCAAGTTTTTTTTTTTGCAAATCTACACATTTGGAGACCTCCCAAACCCCCAAAAAAAAAGTCAATAAAAGAGGAAAAACTCATGCGTGTGTGTGTGTTGGCATCTAATTTGGTTAATTTCTTTAATTTCTGTTCTGAGACATTAAACAATATCTCAGAATGGGTAAAGTTTAAGAAACAAAATGTGGCACTTTAGCTTGCATATAAAGGGGCATTAATACCATTAAATTTTAGTTCTTAATTAAAGGTCGACAGGGTGAAGACATAAAAGGGGTCATGTGTCATATCTTTTAATGAATATTTTACTCATTAGTGTTTCAAAATTTAAATAAATAAATAAATAAATAAAACTCATCTCTATTCTCAAAGTAAGCTTTTTGTCATTTTATAATAGTACAGTAAAATCTGTTAAGATGTTCTCGCCTAAGATGTTAGAATGTGTATGGGGACATGATTTAGTTCAACCACTTTGACGCTTAATAACTAACTCCTGTATTAAACCATCTGACTCCAATTTAAAAACCACAGAAATTATTAGTAGTGATGTAACAAATATTCAGTTACTATTTGGTATTCGGCCGAATACTGAATATTTAATCACTATTCGGCCAAATACCGAATACCTAAAAACAGGAGTAAGAAATAACAAAAAAACAGTAAATTAATCATTTTGGTATTTAGATTTAATGTTATCGGGTTAGTGTTGTTTGTTTATATTTATTTATAACTTATAATATGCACAAAATAAAATAGAAAATAATATTAGTCACATGTATTCACAATTTATAATTACAAAGATCAGCACACGTACACACCTATTCGTTCGAGAATCATCGCACATATCTGAGGGTCTGACCCTGCCTATCCTTCTTTTTAAGCGCTTGTCTTTGCTCTTCCCTTTCTCTTTCCTCTATCGCTCTAGTCCACATATGCCTATGCATACATCATAATACGCGCTCACGATACTTTTGATTTGTCACTTTTCCATTGTAGATTTTCCATTTTACAATTACGTGACTCATAGCCTGGTGATAACGGAGAAAAGAGACATATATGACACTGATACAAGTCACAGTTATGATTTCACAAATTCGAGACAGCTTGGTAGTTCGAACGGCCCCAGGCTTTCACCCGTGCATGCTAAGTGACTTTCATTACAAGCATTTAGCTTTCCGAAGTCTATGACAACAATTGTTTGGCATTGACGGCTGCGCCAATAAGCTGCCTCAACTTGTTCGATTATGTTATCAACTCAATTTCATATTTATTTTCACATTTTCACTTTGTGGTCCTTCTCTCTTCTTTTTCTGTTATTTATACGTGCAGGTCATTTCATTGTTATCCACATTTGATATCATCACTTATCACATACTGCCATGATGCTCGTGTCTGTCCACTTCAACTGTCAAGAATTAACGTGATTGGCGAAGCATAGTGACAGTGGGCCAATAGAGAGCAGGGTCCTTGCCATAATGCGGTTTGCATGCCAATTTTTGTATGTGCGTTAATTGAGCCGAATAGCCAAATATTCAGTATTCCTGGCCAAATATACTATTCGTTGCAACACTAATTATTAGGCTTCAAACAGGGCGAACAAAATCATGCCCCTCCACACAGTCTAACATCCATACATATAGAAAAAAATCTCGAATCTTTTGCATATCTCGAAATTTCAAGGTGCCCCGAGTCCAAAAACGTAAAAATTTGGGAGGGGCCATTTTTTGACTGAGCGTTACACTTTCCCTCTGTTATATATAACAGCCAGAAAAGTAAAGATTATCAAATACATATTTATATATTGACTGTGTCATTACTTAGAGGAGTCTTTTAGCTTTGAAATAAAAAGTTTCTACATTCTATCTTTATTAGAACTCTATTTATTGAATCTTTTATTCTGAGGTCATGTGATGGCATCAGAATTTCCGAGTCTCTTTTGGTAACAAGTCCGCCCCTGGTTGGAGTCGGTAGATTTTTACACGACTCCACAGCACTGATAAAAACTGACTTCTGGAGGTGAATATATCACAAAGAGTTGCATGTATAGGTATGGTTCTATTGACTTTTTTGCTCCTACAGGGAGGTCTACAATTCTGAGGAGTGGCAAATCCCTTGTTCAGAGTTCACATCTTAACCAATACACAAAAAAGGACAAGAACCCCTGCCCTACACCACATAGAAAATTTACATTTGTATTTCTATAAAATTATACTCATTAATTTGCAAATATTTTAGACATTTTAGTCACAGCATTTCAGCCTAGTAAAGAAATCAATTTTTATAGAATTAATGCTTTAATGAATTACTTTAAAAAAATAAAAAAAAATTGACATAATCACTAACACTGACACACCCAGAGGGGGTCCAAGAGGCCCTGGTATCCTCCCAAAAAAAAATAAATACTAGATAATTTTCCAAAAACCTTTTCCTAATTAAAATTAATTTTTTATTTGTATTATGTCGTGTCTTCTATATCTATACTAAAGAATTAGCAGTCACATACAGTGAGAATTTCACTGAATTCTCATAAAAATTTTTTTTTATGCATTCAACTCGGCTCCCCAAGATTAAATTCTGAATACATCACCGATCACTGAACTATCAAATCAGATATAGTGTCTATAAGATAAATTCTTAAATTGCACCGAAATACTTAAATGAATTCAAGTGGGAAAACAAATATCTATGATTTTGAACAGTTCATTGAAAATACAACTTGTACATTACAGGCTTTAATAAACTTTGTAGGACGCATTTTTCATTTGTTTTACTATTATTATTACACTAGTATACGCTTTTGTTTATTTATAATTAAATAATATAGCCTTTAATACAAAATATAAATGGTTTGTAATACGAATATCAGAATAAACCTGTAAACCTCTTTAATAAATACAATGAAATAATCAAAACAGACAATTAAACTGCAGTAGTTTAGTACTGTATTATATTCAAAAATAATCATATAAAACAAAACCATAATTATAATTAATTCAAAAATGAATTTGCAATTACTCTGATAGAAGCAGTATCTTGGAATGTTTTCGCCAAATAAATTTATTTTTACTTTTTTAAAAAAATAACAATCGAAAAATTTGCTAAACCCACCTCTGACATTTTTACTGCCAACAAGCACGTGACGACCCAGTGTGACGAACTGATAGTTTACTCAAATATGAACTCTGGTGGAGGAAAATGGAAAATAAAAATTATACTAAAATTTTAAATATAATAATAACGATGAAAAAAACACAATAATGTATATAAAAATTAAAACAAAAATACTAAATTTAAAAATAAATTATTATTTTTTTTTTTCGTTTTACAATAAAATAAAAACTTCAATTAGGATATTCTGCAAACAATCAAATTCAGAACAATGAAGCTGATTCACATACGTCTAGTAATTTAGACGCTGATTAATAGTCACTTACTACTAAACGAGTTAGTACATAAAAAGTGTCTGCATTTTTTAACGGGGTCTTACTGAAAGACCATTATAGATTCGTCCAGGTGCACAATGGAGAGGTCGAGTGGTGAGAGACGGGATCCAACAAATCCAAGACGGATTAACCCATGAAAAATTCCTGGGGTTTTCGTTAGTTCGGATTTGATCCAGGGTTCCAGGACGGTCGATTGCTTCCTTAAACAGCTCAACCACAGTATGCAGCGAGCTTCGAGTTATGAAAGACCACTTGAAGCTCCCAACGAATCTCCTTACTTACTAAGCTGCGTTAGTGCTTTCCATGGGTGACGATACCGCTTTCACGCTTCGCGATAAATTCATTTTTCATCTCAATCGTCAATACTACAACCGTCCCCTTAGGTTTCGTTTCTTCCACACTCTTCTTAGATGCCATGGTTAATAGGTTGGTTCTTAAATGGCACGGTTATATATATAAAACCAAACAAGTCAAAGATAAAGCAGAAAAAAATGCTGAAAACATACGCGCTTGATACAAGAGTTGTTTTCACAGAGAGAGCGAGAGACTACTTACGCGCGCAACAGACAACATTTTTATGCCGTGAGTGCAGGTTTTTTGCTGTGCGTGTAGTTCGAACTTAGAATCATCGTTCGAACTCCGAATCGAATTTCTTTTGAAGTGAACGTTCGAAGTACGAGATAACACTTTTTTGAGTGATTTATTTTATTTTATTGAATACATTAATTTATCATCTATACGAAATTTTAAACGAATTAATCTTACGCTCCCTAGATGGATATTTAAATATCGATTATTTTACCATTGAGAAAAGCATTCATCACATGTATACACTCGTGCAATGTTGGAAAGATCTTTTTTGCTCCTGTATACATGTTTAAGTGAACACCCTGTATATCAAGTCTCAAGTTATTTTTCCTAAACTATATGTAATTATTATTTATTTAATAAATAAAATAAAACATTATTGGTACCTTCGATCAATTGTGCCTACGGACGGCCGGATGCGGCCATCCGCGGTCAAGATGAGAGCCTACCCCAGGAATTTTTCTGCGGTTGGTCCGACTGAATCTGTTTACCTCACCACCAGACCACCCTATTGAATATATTTATTTTATTTCATTTCTGCCAAACTAGTTTATTTAAAACTAGCAGGTAAGCCCGGCGTTGCCCAGGCAAAATATAAGTACAAACATTAAGATGATTTCGTACTTCTAACTCTTCTATTATATTATATTATAGTAATTGATTTATATAACTACAAAGGTTATCTTACCTAAGGGTTTATAACACCAAGCAACCAATCTTTAAGAGGAAAACTTTTAAATGTGTTCACTGGGTGCGATAAACCCTTACGTAAGATAACCTTTGTAGTTATATGTATAAATCAAATATTATGATATAACAATTATTAACACGAAAACCGTATAAAGAGTTTGGTTATTTTAGACTACCATTGTCATTTTTATCTCAATACTAGGATGGTACGAAATGGCACGGTTTCATTGGTCAAGTAGACACCAATTGAAAATTCGATATCTTAAAAAATAAAATAAGATATCGAATTTTTTTTTCTAATGTTATCTATCACTAACAAACTGTTTCATTCACTGCCAAATATCAAACCGTGATCTGCCAACGAATCAAATTTCGCGAAAAATGGATCAAACTCGGCACCCTCGAAAACCACTTAAATTGTATTTTGTGCTGGTCGGTAACCTCGTATTATGTAATTTTCCTATTCGATTGCCACCATACCGATGGATCCGATAGAAAGAAGGGGCTTTTTTTTAAACTCTTTTCGCCCTGTGGGCACTAAGATGGACTCTTTTAGCAAACCTATTATGGGTTCGGCCAGGTCCACAATGGGGCGGCCGAGTGGTGAGGGATGGGGCCCGACATATCCGGACGGACTACACCTGAAAAATTCCTGGGGATTTATCGACCTGTCTGTGTCCGGACACGAGTCCCTCAGAGCGGTAGGCTGCCACTTTGACCATTCGACCATCCGGCCGTCATAAAAAAGGGACTGTTGCAGAAAGAGGTTGAAGTTAATTCGACCAAAAGTAGTAGTTGTCCTCCTCCTGGAGAGAGAATGGGTCAACTACTTAATAGCAATCTACTATTAACAGAAAAACTACGATGTACAGGGACAAGACATTGCGACGTTGTCACAATAAATGACTACTTCTTACTTCTGTTATTCTTAAGTATATTTGGCTTATTTTCATCCCTTCTTATAATAATAAAATAAATGAAAACACGCAACTCTTCGCTTGTCCTTCTTTATTTCCAAACGAATGGCAACCCAGAACTCTCCACTCCTGGTTAGAAGGAATGCAACTCCACACGTGATTAACATCACTTGCGCAGTTTCATTCATCCTAACTCACACTTGAATAACATCTCTTTAACGTTAACGATTCTTCGTCTTCTCTTCGCGATTCCAGATTTTCTCCTCCAACAAAGCAGCGCCAACAATGGAATCATCCAACAATGCATTCTAACAATTCGTTACTTTCGACAAATACGTGACGCGTAACGTTATAACATTAATGGAGTCGAATTATTTCATTTTAAAAATTAAAATTTTTCTACTTTCTAATCAATAGAATTATAAAAATAAAATTTATAGATGTCGAGTGAATTCATTTATTCTAATGTTATCTTGTGTTTTAGAATTCGTATTACACAACCACACATGGATTTTTTTTTCTTTTTTGGGGGGATTCAGGGGCTCTGAAAACGTGAAAATTTGCAAATAACATTCCGTTTTATATGAATTCCATGTTGTACGTGTCACTTAGATTTTACAAATATGTGTGCCGGGCTGTGAACGGCTCATGTATTTGTAAAATCTAAGTGACTCGTACAACATGAAATTCATATAAAACGGAATAATTAAAAGTATTATAGGGGGGGTCGACTGTACCAAGTATATCATTTTATAATGTATCAATATTTCATCTATTAACCAAATTTATTACGCTAAAAAAAAATCTAATAAAGATTCTTTTTAGCGTTTTTCTTGCATTTTAAAATCGTTTTTTAAACTTAAAACTTTTCATTTTTTTTAAATAAAAATAAAAATAATCGATATTCCATAATAAAAAAGAAAATTATATACTCTAAGTTGGAGTAACTTTGGTCCAACCAGGGTAATTCTGATCCCAAAACGTAAAAAATGTTTATTTTCAATGTTATAATACCGAATTCAATGAATTTTGACACGAAAAAAATAGATGGCAGCACTAGCTAAGTGTACCAAATGGTTCATACTTTTGCCACGGCATACAGCATCTCATATGTAAATGTACAGTAGATGTTTTCATTATAATAATAAAATACATACCTCCTACAACTTCTATTTGAGTGGAATAACCTTTGAATTTTTTTTTTTTTGTTTTAATAAGTACATTTTTATATACGTATGTACTGTATGTCTAAAAGTGTTGGAGATGGCCTGTAAAGGAGGATTGTATTCAATACTAACGGGAAGTTTTGTACTGTACAGTATATAGGCTATATAATAATTTACAAATTTTACTCAAAATATAAAAAATGACAATGTTTTTGAAGCAAAGTTACTCCGACTTACGGACTTACTTTAAAACACTACACAATGCCCTACGAAATACATTAATTCGATAGTATCATTTCGAATTTTATGAAATTTTATTGCCGAAAATGCTTATGGAACTGATAAGGAAAGTGTTAAATCATGTAGAATAAATGCATGAAATAAGCTCGTGTCTTTCTTTCAGTCATTGATCATAATCACGAGAGATATCGATCTTTTTTGTTTTATTTTGATACGCTCTATTGAATAACTGTTACGATTAATAAATAAGAATTATGTATTAATAGAATTGTATGTGGCATATTTCTATTTATGTATAGCATTTAGATGTATTTATATAATATACAACTAATATATTTATATGTTCGTGTATGTATTAATAATTACAGTCGACCACTCTATAACACTGTTGATTATTCCGTTTTATATTAATTCCATGTTGTACGAGTCACTTAGATTTTACAAATACGTGTGCCGGGCTGTGAACGTCTGACGTATTTATAAAATATAAGTGACTCGTACAACATGGAATTCACATAAAACGGAATAATCAACAGTGTTATAGGGGGGTCAACTGTATAGAATAAAATAAAGACGTTCCTAGATTTCTATCATATTAAAATGGCATGGATAATTCGATTATTTAATTAATTACAAAGAAATATTTTGTATAATAATTATTATTCGTTAAGCGAGTATGTAAGATTTTTACCAAAGGAGAATACAATACAGCCAGATGTTATAAATGAATGTAATAAATACAAATATGTAAAAAGTTTGTTTTTTTTATGATGGAAAGTTAGTTAAAAATTTGTATAGGCGATATAAAAGTTAAACAGAACTTTTCTTTGATATAGCCTATTGTATCTGTATGAATTAAAGGGTTTTTTAAGGGTTTGATGCAGTCCTGAAGCAGAAAGATGTTGGTATAAAACTTACCCACTTCAACCAACAGCTATATCAATTTAGAAGAAATAATTCAGTTGAAAACAAACAGAAAAGGAATTTGTTTGGGTTTATATACAGGGGCGTTCGCAGAAAATTTTCCAGTAGAGACAAAACTTGGAGACAAATAATTACATCAATAAATTTTTATTATAATTTATGGAATTCCAGGGGAGGACAAGTGCCCTGTTTGCCTATTTCTGCGGATGCCCTTGCCTCTATATAAGTTAATTAATTTTGTTGAATACCAATATGTAGTTACCATAAAATATTTCTAAATACATAAAATGATTCGAAATAACTAATGTTTGCTACTCTTCACATACATTCATCAATATGTATTTATGAATATATTTATAATTTAATACTGAAATATAGTAGGCTATTGTGAATTTTATAATGGAGAAAATGAAACTATAAGGCACAAAAATAAAATTTGCAAAATATAATTTTATACTTCTTCAATTATAATGGATAAAGNTTTTTTAACATTTACTGTTATTCTAAAGTTTCAATTAACATATAAATATTTTAATGTATTATATGACATTTTCTAAGTGTATCTATAAACACAAAGGCTTAAGTTGCCTTATCGGGTAAAATATTCGTAATAGAAACTATCTCGATTAAAATAATTCAATGCTAAATGTCTAATCTTACTCTTTGTGATTAGTTTTCTATTTATTGAATTTATTCAAACCTATTTTTTTTTTAGTTTAATTAGTATAGCTATTATTAATCTTGTGTCATAGAAAAATTAAATTTATGGAATTGCTTAATTATCATTGAATGCTTTCTGTAATTTATAAATGGAACATTTAACAATGTTTCCTTACATTATCAAATAAATGGTTCTATTATTATTGACTCATTAAGTTCCTGCTTTAGTTGGTATCATTTAATGGAACAAAGGTATAGGGAAAAATTACATTTTATACCGAAGGTTAACGACAAACAAACTCAAATATTAATAGCTTATTTGTGTTCTACTTTAGTTCATGCATTTAGTTATTATTTGTTCTATTATAGAATTTTGTTTTAATTTCTTTCATAATCAAATTCACATTTTAGTTGAAGTAATAACCTATAAAGATTATTTTATACTCCACGAATATATCTAAAAATATTTTGAGTAAGTAATGCAATAAATCTATAATAAATACAAATTTCTACGTAAACATAAATTATTAAAATATTTTTAATATACGTCTCATCTTACGTGACCTATTTACTCTTAACCAATTGTTAAAATGCTAATAATATTAAATAATATGTTCAGGATTATCATCATACGTCATTTACTTTTATTCAAAATATTTAATATCCTGCTTCTTATTATTGAAAAAAACAAAATTGCTTGCGGGTATAATAAGTTAGACAGCACTGTTCTATCAATAACTTGTCAATAATACCTCTTGAAAAGAAAATTTATTGTTGAAAACATTAATTATTAAATAAATATAAATTTCTCATTTTATGAGTGAACATTTATTATACTTTACTAAATAAAATAAGATTATTTTATTTTGATGGTAAATATAGTCGACCCCCTATAACACTGTTGATTATTCCGTTTTATATGAATTCCATGTTGTACGAGTCACTTAGATTTTACAAATACGTGAGCCGTTCACAGCCCGGCACACATATTTGTAAAATCTAAGTGACTCGTACAACATGGAATTCATATAAAACGGAATAATCAACAGTGTTATAGGGGGTCGACTATATTTACCATCAAAATAAAATAATCTTATTTTATTTAGTAAAGTATAATAAATGTTCACTCATAAAATGAGAAATTTATATTTATTTAATAATTAATGTTTTCAACAATAAATTTTCTTTTCAAGAGGTATTATTGACAAGTTATTGATAGAACAGTGCTGTCTAACTTATTATACCCGCAAGCAATTTTGTTTTTTTCAATAATAAGAAGCAGGATATTAAATATTTTGAATAAAAGTAAATGACGTATGATGATAATCCTGAACATATTATTTAATATTATTAGCATTTTAACAATTGGTTAAGAGTAAATAGGTCACGTAAGATGAGACGTATATTAAAAATATTTTAATAATTTATGTTTACGTAGAAATTTGTATTTATTATAGATTTATTGCATTACTTACTCAAAATATTTTTAGATATATTCGTGGAGTATAAAATAATCTTTATAGGTTATTACTTCAACTAAAATGTGAATTTGATTATGAAAGAAATTAAAACAAAATTCTATAATAGAACAAATAATAACTAAATGCATGAACTAAAGTAGAACACAAATAAGCTATTAATATTTGAGTTTGTTTGTCGTTAACCTTCGGTATAAAATGTAATTTTTCCCTATACCTTTGTTCCATTAAATGATACCAACTAAAGCAGGAACTTAATGAGTCAATAATAATAGAACCATTTATTTGATAATGTAAGGAAACATTGTTAAATGTTCCATTTATAAATTACAGAAAGCATTCAATGATAATTAAGCAATTCCATAAATTTAATTTTTCTATGACACAAGATTAATAATAGCTATACTAATTAAACTAAAAAAAAAATAGGTTTGAATAAATTCAATAAATAGAAAACTAATCACAAAGAGTAAGATTAGACATTTAGCATTGAATTATTTTAATCGAGATAGTTTCTATTACGAATATTTTACCCGATAAGGCAACTTAAGCCTTTGTGTTTATAGATACACTTAGAAAATGTCATATAATACATTAAAATATTTATATGTTAATTGAAACTTTAGAATAACAGTAAATGCTAAAAAAAATCCTAAATAATTTATAAACAAAAAAATAGACAAAATAAATATATAAAGATTAATACGAATCATATCTTAAAATATGTAATTCATTCTGATTTAATAAATTCTAAGGTAGTTTTTTTTTACTTTAGGAAATAATAATAATAAAAAAATGTTAAATTTAAAAGTCTATTTCTA